TCCATAAACACTGAAAGCTTTAAAAACGATTACAAAAATAATATAGGGGGGAGTCATGATATGAGGGAAAAGCATTTGAAAAATAAAAAAGAGACTTCGTGAACCTGCAAAGGAATACTCCCCGAATCCATAGCCACATTTGAAATGTAGACATCATGAAATGAGCCGTAAATCATCAACTATACGTTTGACAGTTTTAAGTAGTTTCAACAGCGTCAAGAGCTACGGATTTGATTCCAGTCAAAACAGAATAGGATAATCTCAGTGCAAATATAAAAATGGTTTATGAGACACAAAGCAAACAAAATCAGTGGTGTAAAAGATCCAGCATGCTCAAAGAGAGGGAGCAGTACAGAGTGTGTGAGGAGCAGAAACAGAGATGTTGTGCAGGTTAAAGAGTCTCTGAGGTCCTATCTGCAGACAGCTTTTACTGCCCATCTGCTCCTGTGTAGTAGGTGCGTAGGTATAGGTGTATTCACAGCACACATGTGTATATGCATGTATGAACGTGTGTGTGGGATCTCACTGTTGGTTTCTTGCCCTCCTTGAGCACAGTCTTCCGTCTCAACACCCCCTGCACTGTGACTGCTCCGGGGTAAAGGTGAACAGCAAGCTCCTCTGACTCCGCTGAGCTACAACAGAACAAAGACACGTTACAAGCTATACACACACAGGCACACAAAATACTACATGCATGCTTTTCATGCACGCACTCACACTGGATCAAAATCAGAGATGAACTACTAGTAAAGGCAGACACAATCTGCAAAGCCACCTTAAACTCTGCTTCATGAAAGTAAACCTACATCAACTGTCTTGTGTTGTTTCCATAAAACTGAATTTCACAGCTATAAATCTGAACGCTATGAGCAGAGAGAGGAGCAGAAGAAGGCAAGGTGGTGTGCAGATTGTGTCCGTCTGGAGGATCAGAGCAGGAAGCCCAGTGAAGCCTGGTGGAAATAGAAACAGAGGCAGAGGGAGACCCATCTCTAACCACATGGGACACTTTTATATGCAACGTCCATGAGAATTGGCTTTAATAATCCTGAAGAGTCTGTTCCTGTCTCTCTGGTGAATGAGGATGTCATGGTTTGTTTCCAGTAACACATGGAGCTCCGTGTGACTGTGGAAACTCATTTTGAGCTCCAGGCTGTGAAATATCTTGTAAACTTATCACAAGAAGAAGTCCAGGTTGACCATAAGCTCTCAGTGTGTGTGTGTGTGTGAAGCAGACATGCAAGAAATGTAAGAACTCAAAAGATGGATTATAGATTGATGGTAAGCAGCAAGAAGATGTAAAATCATGACCCGCACAGATCCTTTGCCCTCCACCTGATTCATGATTTCACCACCTCACTCACACGTGTCCCACCACCAGATTCTCCCAGCACGACACACACTCTAAGCACCAGCACACAGCGGCCCCTAGCAGGGGCTGAGGGCCGTGAAGTGAAGATAAGAGAGGGTTTGGTTGAGCTCAGGTTGGTTCAGGTCGGGATGTGTGTACCTGCTGGGCCTCAGGACTCCTCTGTAGGTGATGCGGGCCACACGGGTCACTGGGCCCAGAGAGTGATAGAACCGAGTCCTGTTCAGAATAGGATAAGACAGGATAGAATAGGGGGCACGGGACACTGTTAGGGCTATGAGGGTCTTTTGTTGTTGTTGTTTTGCCTTGATTGCATGGGTTAGGGCTGGATGGAGGGGCGGTCATTTGGTTAGAGGAGATATTGATGAATATGTGTTTACAGGCTTATTCAACAGTTTTCAGAAATGTTTATTTGGAAAGACGGTTCAGATGATTTTCAGAGCCAGATCATTCTTCAAATAGCGAGTGTGGCTCCAGACATTTGGCACAGAGGGACTATTGTTTAGGGGATTGAACCGTTTAGTTTTTAAAACTTTCAGGCTGCCGCAGAAGCATCTGAGAGCAGCGGTGGAGGGATGAGGCATGAAAGCCCTGGCTGCAAGGCTGAAAGCGAGGCAGCACCCGGCAAGTTTTTATTGACGATCGTTTTGCATAGCTGTGTGTCTTGAGGGCAGAGCAAGGAAAATCATACAATCACATCAGGGAGGGGCGTATTTTATGATCTCAACATGTGGATGTGATGAAAAAACACTGCACACACAGACGTTGTAACCTTACCTCTCAAAAGCCGGCCAAGAAACCTCTTCACTGAGCTCAGAGCCCTCACTGCTCCCTGTGTGCAGATACAAATCATTCACAAAAATGATGCAACATGTCACAGAACATATAAACTGTGCAACATGGTAAAAGGTTTATACGTGTTTGTCTTACCAAGTGAAATACCACTGGAGAGAGTTGAGCTCTCGGCATGTACTCTGGTGGGACTGTGGCTCTCCATCACACTATCGTCCAACAGGTGGCGAGACCCAGCGTTGGGGAACGTAGCACTTTTAAACTCTACTGTATTCATCTTATGGATAAAACTATGTGGGTGGAGAACACAGAAGAAAAAAGGAGGAAGTAAATATTATTACAACTTGTTTTTGTAGGATCTGTGTGGTTTACAGGGCATCATCTTTCGTTATGATCTACTATAGGATTGATGTATTATGACTTCAGTTTTTTTTTTTTTAACCTAAAAATAACTTAAAATAAAAACTGACTTGTAGCCCAGGCTGTGGCACTTCCTGTGTCCGTAGGGCAGGAGGTTCCTGGGGGAGGGCGGCGTGGCTGGGACTTTGGTTCCTTCAGCTGCTATCGTACATTTACGGCCACAGAGAGGAGATGCTGACGCTTCATGGCCTGTAGGTAGAAGAGGGAGGGAAGGACAAGTTTATTTACCGTGACGAAAAGAGAGAAAAGAGATGATAAACTGGTTTGATTCTTCATTTACGAGAAACTTACCGACAATATCCTCTTTGGTGGCACTTGCTCGTGGTGTGCTGGTGCCAGGCTCAATCTTTTGTGACAACCTAGATAAGAAACATTGATAAAAACCATTAAAGTGAATTCATCCTCATTGATTATGGAGATAAGAGGGAAAGACAGACGAGAACTGTGAAAGTCAGCAAACGGCAAATTAGAGATGAATGGGCAACAGCGTGGTGTCCATCTGAGATCTTACTTGTAATTGTCGTCTTCTACAAACTTCTGCAGCTCTTCGATGTACCTGACTGAGTTCAGATACTTCTGTACATGAGTCAACAGTTGTACATCTGTAAGAGGAGAGGAAATGAAAAACATTATAATACATATACAGAATGTTTTCATGATGTATTAAACAATGTATTAATGATGTAAAAGTGTATAACTAATTACAGTTTTACTTCAAACTATCCCTGTATCCTGAGCTAAGTTTTACCAAGAGTATTTATTTTCCCTTCATAATCTCTTTTTGACCTTCTCCATGTAATAACACTTGAATGTTTACTATTCTACTAACAAACAAAACAAAAGCTTGAGGGGTACAGGCATGTCAAGGAATATGAATTGGTTTAATTGGTCAGGGTGTATAGTCCTGTAGAAAGAAAATACTTCCTACATGAACATTTTTACAAAAAGTCAGTGGATTGTTCACGACTAACAGGGTCATGATTTCTAGAAAGAGACATTGCTGTTATTTTGGCCCTTTGAGAACCTCAAGCTGAGCGCAATCAAGTGAAATTATAATCAAGAAAAGGCTAAATCTCTACACTGGATATACCAAACACTCAGCAACTCTGACTAAACAATCTAGATTTATAAATATTACTTTGGATCAGAGAAAAAATTATTTGATTCTGGGTTGAACTGTCACACTAAACCTGGGCTCTCTAGTTTTTGCACATTACCATCCAGTGATTGTGGCTGTGTAAAACCTACCGTAGGTAACGGATCTCTGCAGGTCCGATAGGATTCTGAGGATGTTGTTCATCAGGTTTGATCTCTGCTCGTTCTCCAGTATGCTTCCCGTGGAGGGATAGGCTGAGTCTACATATGTCAGATCGGACAGGTACATCCCTGAAATGAAGCAGCAGAAAAAGATGCTCGATGTTAAATCAAACCAGGAGAAACACACAGCTTTCCTCACATTTCCTCTCATATTTTGGAGAGTCAAGTGCCCCTGTGCAAGCCAAATGAGGACAGCGTCCATCTGTTAAGGGTGTTATTTGAAACACCATTGGGAGACACAAGGATTTTCCTCCCTGAACACAGAAACCCTGGCTCATTACAAAGTAAACACATAAACACAAACAAGGATGGACACCGGGGACACATTTTCCTGGATTCATGATGCCTTGCAGCTGTGGATTTCTAGGAATGAACACCAGCTGGTAAGCACAGATTGCTTGTTTGAAAACTCACAAGATCTCTTCACAGCTTTTCTTTTTGCAAGTATTTTTTTGTTCTCCATGGATCTAAAGTATTGCCTTGAGTGGATGATTGATTTTCTCTTCAGCCTTTCCAACTCATGACCATCCCTCTTTTCTCCTCTTCCCTTTCTTCTTGCCTCTTTTTGGCAGACTTGTAGCAGAGCTGAGATTCTTAGCCTCTCATTACATAAATATTAACATTAAGAGACAAACCCAGGAGCGCCTTCCCAACGCTCTGAAAGCAGATATTAACAAGCTTCAGAAGTGAACTGATGGTGCTATTTTCCTCTCTCTCTCTCTCTCTCATGCTAAATGTTTCTTTCACACACCACCATTGAGATTGACTGCAGATGCAAGAAGAGTTATCTCACAGTAGACAACACAACACCAACACTCCCTCCCTCTCCCTTGGAAAGTGGTGTTAAACTCACAGATGTGCGCACATACACAGGCATTTACAACATTGTGAACGCAGAGCCTAAACACAGATGTACAAATAAACAACAACAGACGCAGCAGATAAAGGGCCAACGCTTGTCTTCAGGATACCACGCACACTCAAACACAAATACAACACCACCTGATTAGAATCAAAGAGAGAAGGAGAATTTGAGAGCAGAAGAAGCCGTTTACAAGACTTTCAGAGACACAGCTGTAAAGGGGGAAGTGAGAGATGTGGAGAAGAGGAGGAAGAGAGGAATCCTGAAGGCTTAGCCACTGGAGCTGCACTTTTGAGAGCATGTCAGGGGTAACAGCAGTTAGTCATGCACAAATCCATACTGACTGGAACACACACACACACACACAGCTGCGTGCTCAGAGGACCAGTTGTTAAGGTGTGTTCACATGTGGTAAATCGTGTACAAAACTCTAATTAAAAACCTAAAAAGGGAAGATGTGCGAAATGTGATCACAATGTGAAAGAAAACATCCTCCTCCATCTGTTTTTTTAAGCTAGTAACCTACAAGATCTTTCAAATATGTGTCCATGTCTCACTAAGCTGAACACATTAAAGTAAATGGCAGCACTGATAAGGACCAGACACACTTAACTGCACCCGGAGCAAGGATTTTGCTCCAATAACAACCCAAGTTGTCTTTATCTGCCTTACTTTTTCTCCTGCTCCCATAAGAGCGCTACAGGAAGTTGCTCAAAAACCTCGGCAGCATTACAATCCGCTCTTCCCACTCAGAAAGGGAAAAGCAAAGAGAAAGAGGGGAATGTGGGTTGTCAAAGCAGTTTACCTGTGCCCCACACTCGGCACAAACACTTCAAGCAGGTCTCATTTCCTTTCACTGAACACACTTTTTTTTCTATATTAGAACCAAGACGGTTATTGTTAAGAATGGTAAACTTAATGAGGCAGCTCTGTTATTCTCTTTTTTCCATCAGAGTGACATCAGAGGTGGGCTTGGCCACAAAAAGAATTGAGAGGGGAAGAAAAAAGGCAATCTCAAACTCCCACATCCCCCTTCTCCTCCCCTCTCTTCCCTCTTCCCCTCCCTCTACTGGTCTCCCCCATCCTTTGTGAAAAACTCAAGGCATCAGTCGTCAAGGCTCAGTCTGTGGAAGTGGCCGGCTATTGAACCATGCCCCAGCCCGGGCCCCAGGACAGCTGAGTCCACAGAGAGGAGCGCATCTTTCGGAAGTAGGGCCTTAGCTAAAAGAAAAAAGCTTTCATATTGTGATTTCATGCTGCAGGACAGGAGGAGCGACTCAGAAGACTGGGATAAAGAGACAGAGAGATGAGTCCTAAACACTGCAGCTCGGTGAAGACACAAAACAATACACACGTGAAACTATAACTGAAGGAAACACACCCCCACTACTGGTAACAAAACAAGGTAAATGTTGCCTCTGTTAATTCTGTTTCAAGTTTGTTTTGGAGTATGTGCGTGTGTGTGTCGGCATGACAGTATGTGTGTGTGACTGGGCAGCTGCGAGAGCTCTGGCTGAGAGGTTGGAGAGGTTAGGACGTTTCGTGACTGGAGGCTCCGGCTGCAGACAGAAACATTTAGCAACGCTTCTTTGGCTTTTCTCTGGACTCTGAGGCCTGCAATATACTGTGTACAGCATGCTGAAATCATCATCATTTTGAATCAATTCAAACACATGTGACCTGTAGCTTATGAGAAGTATCGGATGTTAAAAAGGCACGAGAACGCCATTTGCGGTGGCAAAATACAGGAACCGATTTGTTAAGTACGGTGCTTTTAGAGTTTCCATTGTGTCGAAAATAGTAATGTAAAGAAAAAGCCTTAAATATTGAAAATGATGTTGTCATTGTGACTGCTTTCCTTTGGAACAAGTAGAGGTGTTATTATGCAACTAACATTTACAAAATGCCGGATCTGACAAATAACAGAAAACTAAAGGGTACAGAGTAAAGAGAGAAATGAAAGTAGGGCATTCCAGCAAAACACACTAGTGAGACCGATCTGATGGAGAGATTTGAGCTCTGGAGCCAGGCTTGTTTATTTTTTCTCGGCTTTTGGTTTCCTAATACAGCACCATCTGAGCTGGTCTACTGGTGGGGTGCAGGGATGGAGGCGAGTCAGCCTGGTGGAATCAGGGTTAGATCAATAATGTTACGCCTAATGAGGTGATGACATATCTCTCAGCACATGCTTCCCCTCGCCTGGGGGTCGGGAGATCACTGAGATGCACAGAAAACAAATTGCTGTTTCCTTAAAAGTTATTAAGATGTTTCTTTGAGAAGTCTGTTGAAGGGGTGAGTGATGATACAATGTAATCCAACCCTGACCACATCCTCGATCTCATACACCCCATGGACATAAGAGACAGCCATTGAAATGCCATGATCTCAAAAGCTTTGAACCTTAATAGCATCAATCTGGAGCACTTCCATATCAGCAACTCACAATTATCTTCAAATGTTTTCACTTACATTCATGGCCTGTTGGTGGGATCCGTGGAAAATATTCTGTTCGCTACAAAGCCACATCTGTGAATGCTGTAAACGACCATGAGCGAGGACAGCACTGAGCGCACACACAAGTATAAGAACACACACGCACACACACTTTGAGCTTCAAAAAGCTTGGAGAAAAAGGTATTAAATGAGAGATGGCAAAAGGCTAAGAAAACATTTCATGAGCTTGCTGGCTTTTCCCTTACAGTAATAAATCAGAATAGCAATACCTATAATAACTCAGCCTGGAAAAGAAAAACTGAAAAGATAAAGAAAAGAGGGAGCAGCTGTCTGAGAAATATCTAGAACATTCTGTGCTGGAGGGTCAAAGCTTGGCACTCTGGTTCACCTGCGTCTGGGAGAAAGCTTTAAATGGCTCATTACAACCAACCCAAACATAAACTAACCATTCTCTTAACCCTCACCCGTGACTGTAAATCACATCAGACTTTCTGTTTGATGTCCTTCCTATTTTACGTTTTTTAAAACTCCCAGGACATGGCAATAAATAGCGGTCAGGTAGTGTATGGGTCAGCTGTCGGAGCCCACTAACCGCTGCCCTCCCCCGGCTGTCCCGCCACACACTATGTTGTCACGCAGCAGGAGATTGATAGCTCAATCAGACAGCAACAGTCATTTTGTGTTTTTTAGGTGATGGGCCAATCGTATCTCACTATGTGACCTGAGGCTGTGTGTTGCACAGAAACAGCCTCAGATGATCTTATCAGTAGAACACATATAGAAGCAGACACATATAACACACTCTCTGGATACAGACATGGGCTTGTCTGAAAACACTGCTGACCACATGCGGTTAAACCAACCACAGCAAAACAAGCCAGACATAGTCTACCTCTTAAAACTCAAACCTACATCATACACCACAGTGCTGCCTGTAGCGCTGGTGGATTTGGTAAAGAAAAAAAAGAAAAAAAGAGCCAAGGCTGTCGCAAACATTCAAAGAAAGACAAGTCTGTAGCTGCACTGTGAAGCTTAATTGGGATCTCCCTAATGAGAGCTTGGACACAGTTGAACAGACAGGTCACCGTAGGGAGGAAGAGGTCAGGCTGGACGTCAGGACAAACACTCAAGAGAAGTGGAGGTATGTAACTAAGTAGAGCCAGTGGGCAATGAGCCTGTATTTGTTTGAATTTATGTGTTCTTCTTTGCCAATTCAACTAATACAAAGCATGTGCAGTCAGAGGTATGAGCTTAAGGTGAGGTGCCACTTAGGGCAGAACAAAACCAAAGAAAGAGTTTGAATGGTTACGAGTGATCTCCTAATCACTGAAAATATTCATCATCCAGGCAAACAAACATCTGTATAAATGCTGTAAAATGTTAATAGTCCCTCCTCCCGGCTCTCCTCTCTGCCCTGACCCTCCTCCAGCTCTTTTCCAATGCGTGAAACATTAGCCGCAGCGTGTGTTTGTTTGAAGCCAAGTGTCCCTTTACGAGTATAATTCAATCAGAGAGAAAAGCCACCTGAGCTGGCAAGGTACCAGCTAATCTATTAGCCTGTGCAATAAATTACTGCGGTAAACTGTGGCAGATTTTAGGCACAAATTAATATTTCGCCTGCACATATTATTGTGAGTTTGTGCACAATGAGAGTTGTGTTTGTGTTGATGGACAGGCTGTGTGTTTGTTCTGCGATGGAGGAGGGTGTTGGAGAGCCCTTATCTTGGCAAAGTATGACAGAGAGAGGCGGCCTTATATGAACTCTGGATAGCTTGAACATAAGAGGTGTGTGTTTGTGCATTTATGTTTGTGCTGAGGAAGAGGGGGACCCCGTGTTTCACAAAGAGCGATTGATTGCAGGGGGTTGTGGAGCGGACGGGTGGGGGGGTTGAGGCAGAGGAAGGGTGGAGCTGCACCCTAATCCCGCATATAGACCTCTGACCCTCAACATCAGCCCACATGTTTAGAGTTTCACTACAGAGGAAAGAAAACAGATGGGGGCCGTGGGGCCTCAGGGGTGTTTGGGGTCTCCCCACTAAGTAATACAGCATCATGAAGGAAGACAACTCGGCAGCTAGAAAGCAGGAGGCAGAAACTACTTCTTTATTTTATTGGGTTGGTTGGCTCTAACCACAGGCTAATGTCTTTTTAAGTAAAAACAATTAGTCTTACAAAACGTCTTTGTTTTTCCACCTCATTTTTCATTGTTTAAATCTACCCAAGGGCTCCAGTCTCAAATACTATTCAAGTTATCAAACAGAGAAAATCCCATTATATCTTTGTATCCACCTTTCCCCATTAATATTTCCAACATGCACTGTTCAATATATTTTTCCTATTCCACCATAGTAGCAGGATTTAATCACACTTAGCTTTCTTCCATTTTGCTGATGAGGATTTTATGACTTTTCCTTGTTTTTGTTAGAGCTGCTTTAAGAGTGTAATGTTGTTCTCTTTAATTGTTTCATAATGTCAGCACTTTAACTACTTCCACACTCATGCTGTGCTCACAGCCTCTGTCCTCAATAACCTCACGTAGCTATTTCTTTGCTCTCCTTTTTAATCTGTCCTTTATTACAAATTAGTCAGATGGTTTCTCAGCTGTCAGATTTTCTTCTTTTTCCCACCCGTGGCTCTGTAACCAATTGTTTTAGCAAGCACAAAACAAGGAGTCACTTTGTGCTTCTGAGGGAAAAATAATATGAATGGTCATGAAACTCTAAAACAGTGGCCGCCGGTGACATCATGTGTGGATAAAAGGCTCTGGCTGCACTCCATGTTGTCATGTAAAGCGGTGCTGCAGTTTATTTAACTCTCTTTTCTTTCACTCCCCCCCCCCCCCCCCCCCGGATTGTTTTTACTTTTCTCTCTTTCTTCTGACCAGTGATGTGTTGTGTGTTTTAGGGCATTTTGGACATGTTGTGGGAAAGTCTGAGGGCCAGATGTAGGAGTGGAAGCTAGGGATTTTGAGGCTGGAAAATACATTGGCTATAAAAATATAAATAATTTGTCTCCAGCAAGAGACTGGTGAAAACTGCAGGAGACCGAGAGCTTTGAAACCCACGCAACAGTCAAACAGAACTTCTGGTATGATGACAGCCTGAATATAAATGTGACACTCTTGTGGGCTTTGGTTTATGCTTCTCACCTGAAACATGCATGAACGGTCCAGTGCACAATATATAATGGCACATCATCACAACATATCCTACCCGATTGTGTTCATTTTATGCCAGTTCAAAGCATCAAGAAAGACAAAATATGGCATTGGATTTTCTGACTTTCCTTTTCTTACGACTGTAATATATATTGTACATATATAAACTGTGCCAGTGTATTAGGTAGACCTAGCGAATACAAATTCACATAACAGTTCGGCAGCAGTCCTACCTTCTTCAATGTTATATTGATCATTTCTTTGCTGAAACTGTTTAAGAGAGATCTAAATTTGCCTGTATGGTTATGTATGTATAAGTATAGTATAAACAGTGACATACAGCACAAACCTGCATTGAGCCAATTTCCCATAGAAGCAGTTTATAAAGGTTGTTCATCAATTCGTTAATTAAGCAGTTTGCTCTGTCTCAGATCACGTCTGTGCACTTCATACGGAGTAACCTGAAGCCACCAGTGAGACATATGGCTGTCTTTCTGAGATAACAACCAACATCCATTACACTGTTTAACCAATGTGGCAAAACACATTTCTCCCGTCCAGCAGTAATGTAAGCAGACGTCCAGCTTAATGACTTCTCTGCTCATTTCCTCTCTGACGACATGCAGAAGAAAATAACTTGGGGGCAAAGCTAATGATCATTAAAGTGAAAACATCCACACAAAAAAATATAGTGTCCTCACTATATGCACACTTCTAGTGTGAGATTGGGGTGAACATAATTTAAGCAAGACAAACCCATTAAGAAATAGTTGTGGGCTTTATCGAGTGTAAAAAAGGGCAAAAGTATGCCACAAATAAGCACAGCCTTTTCTTAAACTGTGCCACAGCCATGACGATAATTTAAAGTAAACCATAGCCAAGACAGACAGAGAGAGAGACAGAGGGAAATGAGAACAATTAAAAAGACACTGTTATATGTCTGCTGGCTATTTATAACTATTAGTGTGGTGAGGACCCAGCAGTGCACTTGGGAAGCTCATACTGATGACAAAATATAGGCAAAGTAAAGGGCCCAGTGCAAGTCTTTTATTCCACGTTTCACATGGATGTTACAGAATTTAACAGCTGTTTGTCAGTAGGGCTGAGAAAATAAGAAATGTAATAAATCCTACTCAAATTGAAGAGATAATCGGTTTAAATATCCATTACTTGCTCTACTTTTTACAGCCTGTGACTTTCAAATGTATGTTCAGCCTGCTGCTCAAGTGATTTGGCTGTAACAAAAAGACCTGGAGAGAGAATAGAGGACACAAAACAGAAAAAGCAAAGAGAAAGGAAAGTATTCTAAAGCGAAGGGAAAGTAAACAAAGAGGAAAGTAATTTAGTAGACAAAAATATGAAAGAGGAAAATATTTTAGGAAAGAGTGCAAATCTTTCAAGGCTTAGGAGGGATAAGAGTATTTCAATCTATGATAGAAGCTGCCTTAAGTTCATACCTGGCCAGGAAGTGGAAAATGACACTGTCTATCCCTATAAGTATCTTCCATCTTCAATCCAGTGTCGTCTGTGCTTTCTTTTTAAATCCGAGTGCTTTGTGTCAGCCTTAAATACTGTCGTTTCTCATCTCCTTCCCTTGTTCTGTCTCTGTAGTATCTGCGCTCATAGATCAGTGATCCTCTTGATTCTGTTTAAGAGTTACGTTTCTTGAGTACCTTACAATTCATTTCAAGCTAAATAAACACGCAAGCCACAAAATGTTAGGGAAGATTGCTTATTCATGCCAAGGCACACACCACAGACATGTAGTATTAGTAAATGATAGCTTAAAGAAAACAGTAGTCTTTTTACAGAACATGGAAATAAATCAAAGCATATAGTAAATCCTCTCTACTTGGATTAACTTGTCATAAATACAGGAATTGAAAAGTACTTCTATTGTAACCTAAATGAGATTCAGTAACAGACGGGTCCTTCAAATTTAAAGGTGGGGTAGGTAAGTTTGAGAAACCGGCTCGAGATATACTTTTTGTTATATTCCATGGAATGCTCTTAACATCCAGATAGCAATGAATATCTTAAGTGCTTTGACAAAAAATCCATTAAAAAATGTCATCTGTGGAAGCCGTAGTACTGTAAAAAGCACGACCAATCATTTTAGCCGGCCAGGCTAAAGTAACTGGATGGCCTACCTGCCTGTCAGCCTTCCATCTGTGCACAAACTTATCTCGTGCCCTCATTGGTCATGTGCGCGTTCGTGTGTGCTGGAGGAGGGGCTCTGTAAGGAAGTGGCAGATGTTTTCCGGTTGTGTATTTTCAAATTCTAGCGCACTCGAGCTGGTTTCTCCAAAATGACCTACCCCACCTTTAAGTGCAGCCTGCTGAGAAACATCCAAGTGGTTTCTCGTCAGCCATGCGTGGACTTTTAGTATTTGTGCTGAATCTGAAAAGTTGCTGATGCTATTCATAGAATAATGGCCCATTCCAACTCTGACAACCCAATATAGTTGGTCAAGTAGGGCAGCTGCACTGATCTGTACAAGCATCACCCTTAAGCTATGAGATTGCAGAGGGAAATCAACATTTCCAATCTCAGCAAAAACAACTTCCTGACTGCAAACAAGGTATGCGAAGCCCCATTCATTTGCATGAATCTTTATTCCCATAGGTGACCACCATTTTCCACTCAAAGGCTTTCCCAGTCCCCAAGCACTTCAACAGGGTTCAATTTTGGTATGTTGGGGTAGAAAAAAGAAGCCGCTCTGCTTGTTCTGAGAAAGCGCCGTAAACTTAAAGACACACTGGTGACCTCTCCATGTTCCCTGGAATGTCTTTGATATGTTGTGTTTCCATGAAAGGGACTAGGCCCCTTCGTACTCAGAACCACCTACCAAGAGGACATCAGACTCCAGAAGACAGGAAAGAGAGAATAGAGTGGAGGAGACGGAAAATAAAAGTATAACAAGAAATAGATGAAGGAGGTGATAGCTGATGGATGAGCTGTAATGTCGCCTGTCCAGTTCATACTCGATGTGGATGATGCTGGATATAAACACTTATGGAGCTCCAAGCGACAGTAGGAAGCCAGTCTGGAAGAGAAGACGTAGTTGAGAGAACCGATACTGCTGACGCTGCTGTTAAAGTCATTAGCATCTCTCACCGAGGTCAGCAAGGATACAGTACCTGGTTACGCTGTCAGACACATCGGCTGCTGGAAAAACACATGGTCCTGAAAAAGAATAACGTCTCTGGATAGTCATGCACGCACGGTATTTAATCATACCGATGGACACACAAGCTTATGCATACCAGCGAGATTTCCAGTACGAGCTGTAATTCTGTCCCTTTCCGATATTGTTCCAAGTGACAGAATTGCCAGAATTCCTAAAGAACCACAATGGCATCATATGGGACACAAAGGGCCTGAGTTTCAGGGTGGAGGTAGGACTTAATGACGTGGCACCAAGTAAAGATTGGATGAAGAGTGACAGAGTGGAGTACTAAAGAGTGTTTTGCATGCCCAAGACAGGGTGTTAAATGGAGCACTGTGCACTGATGAGAAACAGAGCTAACATCAGCAAGGATAGGAGGCGAGGGAGTGCCGGCAGTCACCCTTCAGATTAGAAAACAATTCTACACAAACTGTTTTCCTTGTATTGAATCTTACCCTTGTAGCGACGCCTAATTATGTGTTTTGTGAAACACAAATAATAACTCCTACCATAAATTATGGGTTAATTTATGGAGCCAGGTGGAGCAGTGGGTGCTCAGTAGTTAGAACATTTAACTGCTCTCACAGGAAACTGCAAATCAGAAGAAGGGGTCAATTTATGTCAGATATCTATGCAGGAAAGGAGGGCTTGATCCCTTTTAGAGGCCTTTTCAACCAAATGCTTGGAACTTAAGGACATGAATCAAAAACTTAAAGTTATGGGCCTTTGATAGGGGGGAGCCAACGGGACCTCAAAAAAATGTGGGTGTCTGTCAGCCGGAGAACGACCAGAGACAGAAAGCAGACCTCGTCCTGTGGGCAAATGTGTTCTCTCTTTGGTTCTTTAACATAAACAACTATATGTGAAACAATGACCTGACAACTCTGGTTAAACACCGAGTGAGCACTTTTCCAAAGAATAACTGATTGTCTGTGAATATTTAAAAAAAAGTGTCAGATACATTTTCATTAAAATCGTAAAGCATCCGACAGCTAGTTCCTCGACTCTGGGACAGCATACATCCAACACCCCTGCTTTTAATATTCCTTTTGTAAAATGTTGTAAACAAAGAATTGTCTGCTCAGGGTCCTGACGCTTAAGATCTTGTTTTCTTGCAGGGAGGCCTGGGGGGACTTGGAGGGAGCACCAGTAGCTGTCCATCTATCCATTTAACCAGCCAGAAGCATGCAGGGGCTGGTGTGGAGCCTGTGTGCCCTGCTCTGCCTCTCCCTCTGGGAGGAAGGTTTCTGCAGGAGCTCCATTGATGCACGCAGGACCAAAGAGCCTACTCTCCGTAGGAGTAAAAGAGCCCCAATCGATCCTGATGGCAAAAAGTGTTCCTACACCTTCCTTGTGCCCGAGGAGAGAATCACAGGTTCAAAGGATAACTTATTTTATGTCATATACCTTTGGTTTTTCCTAATATATTTCATGTAACAAATCCTTGCTTTTCAAAACTCCAAATTGCTTCCTGGTAATCTCCTATGTATTTCACATCTGTCAACAGGTCCAATCTGTGCCAGCACCACAGGCCCAGAGCCAGACAAGGACCGAGTGACCCGTATGGACATTTCAGATGTGCGGGAGGTGCTTAATAAACAGAGGCTTGAGATTGAGACGCTGCACCTGGTGGTGGATGTGGATGGTAACTTGGTAAATGAGATGAAGCTGCTGCGGAAGGAAAGCAGGAACATGAACTCCAGGGTGACCCAACTCTACATGCAGCTGCTACATGAGATCATCAGGAAAAGAGACAACTCTCTGGAGCTGGCCCAGCTGGAAAACCGCGTCCTCAATGTGACCTCTGAAATGATGCGACTGGCTTCAAGGTATAAGGAGCTGGAGTCCAGGTTTGCAACAATGGCAGGAGTGGTCAACAACCAGTCTATTCTCATCTCTGCACTGGAGGAGCAGTGTATGAGGACTGCGGGACGCGGTGAGCTGCCTGTTGTTCCCCCCCTGGTACAGGTGGTACCGCAGCATCTACCAGTTAACAGCCGTTTCACCAATGAGATACAGAGAGACCATAACAACCGGGCCTTTCCTAGAGGATCACGCATGGAATCCCCTACTGCAAGTCCTTTTGGGATTGACCCACCACCACCACAGGGAACACTTACCTCTGATGGTAAGTACTAATTTGAACTTGGAATGGGATGCGGAAAGAAATAATTGTCTGAACACAAGGCAATTGTTCTTTGTAAGTTGTGTGTGAGATGAATTAGGACAATGACCAAGTGCTATTAAGAACGTAATGTTTGGCAGAAGTTGGTATTGCTGAGGCACTGTTGGCTAATCCTTGGCATGATGTAAAGGCAGTGAAATCATACATTCCTTTGGCTGTACAGTACTGAGCATGTGTACTTAATTGGTGGGATGCAGATAAGACCTCTTTGAACTGCATTAAAAATACATCAGAGAACAGTAATATAAAGCTTCTTCATAGGATTTAGTCAGATTTACAGTAAGTCTATGCAAGACATAAAAAGGAGCCAGGTTTAGACTAATGGAGCACACTTCAGACGGACAGCAAAAGGTCAAATCAGATAGGAGAGACTGCTGTACTTTTGATCTCACAGAGATTGAAAATTTCTGACTTTGAAGCAAGATTATCTCCAATTTAAAATTCACTGCGTTCACTCACAAAATATTTTAGGTTAAAAATAAAAATAAATGTCCATGTACTTTGGTGTTGGTTGGGTACCATGGAAACAACCACAACAATGAAGCAATAGCACCCATGGGAGATATTAATATTTGAAATGGTCTCTAACTGAGAGGGAGGTCTTCAGAGAAGCTGAAGTATCAGTGCACCAATGACTTAAACAAAGCTTTCAATCTGGATCCCGTTAATGTATTTACAACCAAAAGAAGCAACGGAAAGCCAGAGAAGGATCATATCGGATTTGTTGGCTGACGCATCATCCATCATGTGTAAAGTTTTAGGAAAGAAATATATATTTCTACATCTTGTGTCCATACAACATATTTATCCAATTCCTTCTGATACGGATGTACACTTGTCCTTTCTGTTAAATGTATATAAATGAAAAAATTGAAAAGTTCATCCCCCCAAATACAAGCCACCAAATACCACTATTAGGCTTTCGACCATAGTAAAACTGTAAAAATACACAGTACCTGACCACAGTTTGGTCCAGGCAAGCCCTTTCTCAACCATTATGGCTTGTTTACCAGATTTATTTTGAACCCCAAGCCGTAAAAGCTCTGTTCGGAGAACCTAACAAGAAAGTGAAAGGAAAGGAGAAAAGAGGGAATACATTAGAGAACCCCCTCACTGACACGTCTGATGAAGACATATCATTACAAGAAAAATACAAGCTTGTGCTGGGGAGTTTTAGGTATCTGTGCTAGGGCAATACACTGGGTCCCTATGTGCTCCTACACTCAGCTGAGAAAACCATCTTCCATGGACCTTTAGGCCCCGGAGGCCCCCCACACAATGCCGGTGTTCATGCTGGTTTAATACACATTCACACAGGGGAAAACAGAGGAAATATGGTGGGTTGGGCTTCAGCTCTGGGTGCAGCGCTACCATATTGCCTAATTTAAAGGCTAAACCTAAGTGAATATTCATTCAATAAGGAAAATGTACACATGTATGTTTGTGTACATTTGTAACTAACATCTCTTTGTATAACTTTGTAATAGAAAAAAGGTATTTTGAAAAGAATGTGGCCACAATACATCCAGTCAAACCTTACGTTCGCTCCCTTTTCCTCTTGTCTGCTGTCTCGAACTGCTAGACTTGATGATGATGAGTTTTGCATATGCAATAAAACGAGACATCTTGTTCAACTCAAGGAACTGTACAGTATATTTGTTCAGTGAGCTCAAACTGAATAAAATCTTTCAATGGAGGATTTTAGTAGGAATCATAACTAGAGTTACAAAAAATATAGATATACAACCTATAAAATATTTTAAGTTATTAGTTCAAAACTGTCTTTTTACTAGTTGAGCAAAGAATCATGAACTACTAATCCCCAAATACTTAGGAAACAGAGGAATAATTGGAATATAATGATAATGCAAGTTGCCCTATAACAATAGATTGTGAGAAAATTGTGATTTTACAATAGGGATTCCCTTAAATACAAACGTTGTCAAATCGTGTCTGTATTCAACCTTCTTTCTGTCCACAGGTCCGTTCAAAGACTGTTTCCAGGTGCGGCAGTCAGGCCACACCACCAGTGGGATGTACCTGCTTAAGACCGATGGCAGTGACCGGTTAATACAAGCCTGGTGTGAACATGGCCTTGACAATGGAGGATGGACTGTGCTGCAAAGGAGGAGAGATGGCTCTGTAAACTTCTTTCGGAACTGGGACAACTACAAGGTAGGGCTGATATCGATGAGATTTGAGATATCATAACATTGTATCGCCTAAGTGTTGACTCTTCCTGGTTTAAATGGCTGGAATAAATATATTTAAGTAGGAGCGAGAACTGATTTCACAGCTTTTCTTTTCCCATTTCCTAAGCGACCCACTTTTAGCAGTTCAAATCGGGGCCACTAAGCAAGCACTATCTCCATCAATGTAAACAGCTTAGCAGGGGATTTCCTCACACTGAAATCCCAGCCAAGAGCTAGAGCCAGGGATCTGCATAGAAATATAAGAAACAGTGGGCTGACAAGGAAACGCAGTTCAACATTACTGGGGAGGATCTCTTCAACCTCTTCTTGTAATGGTTCAAATGTTGTGATTGAGATGTGATACAGGAACTAACAAAGCAGGGGACAGACAAATACGTTTAAAAAAAAAAAAACAGTCACAGCCTGACAGGTCTCCAAGGTTCCTCTTAAAAAAATATGGAAATGGTTCAAGAAATCAATACTAACATGTTGTTTAAATCAGGAACATAAATGTTTTTCTGCATTTAGCTTTAGTCAACTCTCCATCCAGCTGCGGCCAAATCTTAATTGCCCCGGCCATTTAATAATTGTCTTGAGTGAGAACCACGGTTCATAACCTTAACACATTATCGTCTCAACAATAAGCAGATCTGATTTCATTTGACTTGATTGCAGACTCCTTTAAACTCCGCACCCTGCTAGAAAGTCTTATTAACCTCACTCAGCTTTACTGTTTATGTTTTTTGGACATGGTAGGCGCTCTGTAACCACAGAATAAAAAGAAAACTGTTCTTTCACCACTTGGCTCACTCAGTGTCGACTTACTCGTATTAATACAGAACTTTATTGGTTTTACGCTACGTTGCAATGCCATTTTTACATGAAACCACAACTGACAATGAATGAGAAAGAACATGCTGTGGTGCTTGTCCCCTACAGAAAGGCTTTGGAAACATAGATGGTGAACACTGGCTTGGGCTGGAAAATATTTACAACCTGGGGAAGCAGGGCGACTATAAGCTGATGATAGAGTTGGAGGACTGGACGGGGAAGAAGGTGTACGCCGAGTACAGCAGCTTCCACCTGGAGCCAGAGAGCGGGGGTTATCGGCTGAGGCTCGGCACCTACCAGGGCAACGCCGGGGACTCCTTCAGCAGCAACAACGGCAAACAGTTCACCACGCTGGATCGCGACAAGGATGCATTTTCAGGTAAGGGGGAGTAGTAAGCTGAATTCCAAATGCTTTTTTTTTTAAATAACTGGTAGTAAAGTGACACATCAAAGGGTTTTATACTCATCTTTTTTGTCATGTTGTGTCTCTCTCTATTAGGTAATTGCGCCCATTTCCATAAGGGTGGCTGGTGGTACAATTCATGTGGCCAGACTAACCTGAATGGCGTGTGGTACAGCGGGGGAGTTTACCGAAGCAAATTTCAGGATGGGATCTTCTGGGCAGACTATGGAGGAGGGTTCTACTCCCTTAAGTCAGTCCGCCTTATGATCCGACCGATTGACTGAAACACAGCACTTCAGTTCCCTTTGAATGCAACTCAGTGCCCCTCCTTATCTTTATCTACCCATAAACAAAGCCTGTAAAGGCAGAACCAGGAATCCATGACATACAGTGCCTTGTAAAATACGAAGGAGGAAGAGACGCCGGGGAATTAAGACTCTAAAAGTGTTGCTATGACTAGCTCCAAAGTTGACTTTGAAATGAAAACCGATGCCAGTGCCTTTCCTAAGTCACTTCTCCATCTTCCAGTCTGGAAAGTTATAGTCCATCAAGCTTTCTAGGACCATCAAGTATTATTCTCAAATGTCCTATTTTACTCAATCTTGATGATAATCAGCATCTTATAAAAGGGAAATGGTCATTTACTAGAGACATGAGATTTCTTCTGAGCAGCTAATGATGACTTAATGAAAGTAGTGTCGCCCATACCAGAGGGAATTGGATTTAATGGGATGTTTAACAAATGTATGTAAAAACGCTAAAATGTAAAGTTGTGTCGCCAGTTAGACTCCCTGTGGATCAAACAGTTAGGGAACAGGACTTGCTTAACCTTCGGTCTACTCGTTTCTGTGTTTTTCTTTTGGACATCTGGGGTTTCTATAAAACCCCCCAGAAAATGATCTTGTGCAACAGTGTGCTTTTCCAATGTACATATGGCTGAGCTGGCTATGGTATGTAAATATATTTGGTTTAATTTGTGAATGGTAATTTAAGCGGTGTGATTCTGCTCAGGCCGATTGTTCACAATGTTGTCACTCTGCCATTCGTTGTTATTTATCAGTGTATTTATAGTAAGTATAGTCGTGGTTGTTTTATATCAAGCCCTGTAATAAAACAATTATTTGAAAAAAGTTCTCATGTACTGCTACATTAATGACAGTTGAACAGAGGCACACACACACAAACACAGTTAGTTCATCTTCTAGTTCATAAAGGTGAGACTGATGAATAGTAAAATACAGGTTTTAAAAGTATTTCCACTGTTATTGTCAAACTTTAAGTATGTAAAATATGAGCTAAGGCTTTATCGGTATAAAGGATGATACAATCACCTAAAATCCAACAACTTTAGAATTCTTTGATCTGATTTAAGTGCAATATAAGCTGCCAATACCTGACTGAAGGAGGTCAGAAGGATAACGATTAATTTAATAATCAACGTAGGTAAGTGGGCAAGATAAAGAAGAACGGTGACTGTAAGTGAGAGAAGATTCAATATCACATTATTCTTGTTCTGAAAGAAAGGAGAGAAAAGAAAAGGAGAGTTTGAAAGAAATATCTAAGGGGAAAAAGAAAGCCTTGAAGAAGCAGATTCTAATGTATCAAGGTGAGGACATGGAGGATATTAAATGATGCCATAATGGGAGGATATTAAATGATGCCATAATGGAAGAATTTAGACTAAAATAAGAACCTGGGAGACAGTAAAGATGATAAAAGGCAAGAGATGGAGAGACGGGGAAGAGAAGGATGGAACATTCCTTCCACTTAAACCGTTGAGCTTTTCTTTCCGTAAATTACAAACGTATATCTTGAAAATTGTGGCTCCCCTGTGTACCTTTCCCTCTGAGGAGCTGTATGTCAGAACAGATAGGAGACGTCTGATGCAAACATTGCAGAAGGAGAGACTCAGACACAGTCAACTATTTTGTTAGCTTAAGTTCTTACACACACAGTGAGCCAGCAGAACTGACAGGTAGGCTTGCCGTCAGACATCTAAAACATTTTATATCCAACAGCCCAGGCTTGGCTGTACTAACTTCTCGTGTTTAGTTTTTTTACACAAAAAGCTGAAGGTCAAAGGAACCAGTATTGTTTGAGTTTGCTGCATTCTTGATCACATACGACACCTTAACCCTGGTGTTTTTCGTTGCATCGATTATTCCAGCATTGCTTGTGTCCCACAGCTACTCCAACAGCTACAGCAACAGCATGCTGGAGCAGGAGGGAGTCAAGGGGCCTTGTGCCGCTTTCTGGCCCTCTTTAGTCTTTTTCCACTGACAAAGACCAACAAGCAAATGGCTATTATTCCAGTGATAATGTGCTTCAAGGAAAGGCTTAGGAGGACAATCATTAAAGATCCCAACTACCTGCATAGCGACCTGTCTCACTGTTTCTGATGCATACATTCAAGAAACTGCAGGATTATTTTTCAACATAATGAGCTCTTGCTCAATAAGACACTTTCAGAATTAAAAGGTAAAAACCTAAGTTTACAAAAGGTCATGTTTCGGATTCTCCCTCATCTGTGTAACAAAACTGTTAGATTTGCTTTAAAGCACTGCACTTTTTTCCTGAAACAAATGTCACTGCGCGATTGTGTTTTGGGGCTGTGTGGACTGTAAAAACACTTGATGCACTGCAGTACGTCCAATTTGCTGCTGCTGCTGTTGCGTGGCTTTCACTACGTGGCTGGTGAATTTTAAAGTGTGTGTGTTTTGTAACAGTGGAGCCATACGTTTCTTTGGGCTCTTTGTCTTTGCATGATTGGCCAGAGAACAGGAACAAGCTCATCTGAGCATTTAACAGGCTGGCCCTGTGGTGAGCGCAGACAGGAGGGGGCTGTGTCTGCCAAGCCTAATAGCAGGTCAGGGTTCACACAGTTGCACACACACACACACACACACGCGCGCAGTAAGGCACAAGTGTAGCACTGTGGAAAAACTAACGCCTGGTGACCGCACAACAAACACAAGGCTCTTTCTCCAGCATCGTTATCACTGAAGATAAGCATCAGACCTAAAAAAGTGCAAATGGAGCAAAGACAGAAACATGATAGGAAGTCTCAAAACTACACAGATACACTTTGTAGAACTCAACCCACCTGAGGTGTATTAAGTACTTAGAAAAGCACAGGGTCATTTTAGACTTCTGCTGTGGGTTTCGACTTTAATTTGAGCTGCAACAGGTTCTGTGAGTGGTGACAAGAGAGGTAAACATGAACACAAACACATTATGGAAAGAAAAAAAAAACCCAGGTTGAACGGTTACACACCCAGCACTTATTGGGAGTGATGCTGTGGAACAAGCATTGCAGCTTTCAGTGGGTTTATGATAGAGGAGGCGCATTGAGAACAAGAGAGCGGTGATTTCCCTTCTTTGTGCCAACTTGGCTGAGGACAGCCCCAAGGACAGCCAGCTGGTCACACATCAAACGGCCACACACATCATTGACAGGCTCAGACTGGAAGGAAACACCAGCCTGCTCACACGTACAACGACTTACAACCCAAGGAGACTCCACCCTAATAACGGCCAACGAGCCACACTTCACTGAAACTCTTACCAAACGGAAAATCTTCCCTTCCTCTTAACATACACACACAATGAGGGAACCATTGGGTTAAACTAGCGATTGCATTCGACAGCTTCAGCTTTGCATTTGTTTCCTGATCTGTCATTGCTTCCAGATTTCTGTGACGTAGGCAATGTGGAAAATGAGTGTTCAAAAGGTTTATAAAATGACAAACAGACTCTTGAGCTTGTTTTTGCTTTTGTCCGTGTTTGTTGGAAAATACTTGAGCATCTAATCACTCAGCAGTAGCCATGATGCGAGCCTGATGGCAAGAAGAGAAACAGCCGTGGCGGCGAAGAACATCAAAGTCCTCCACTCATCATCAAGTCAAAACAAGAACATACAGTGCAGCCATAAAACGACACGCGTGTGTCCACTCTTACATCACATTGAGTGTTTTCCTTGCAAAACTCATCATTGCTGTGTGATACAGTGGAGCCGAAGAAAGAGGGGGTCAAATAGTTAAGGAAAAGTCGAAGAAATATAGCTTCCTTCATATTTCTTTCTCGCTGATTCATGGGTTTGTTCCAGCTACTTGGAGATGTTTCACAACGAATCAGCAAATTTATGTTCGACATTCCTCTACTCCAAGAAGCAGAGTAAAATGAAAAGTCAGGAAATTAGATGACAGAGTAAACATTTATCGGCTACAGTGGAAACAAGTAGCTTATTGAAAGAAGTACTGAGAAACCGAGGAACAACAGACTATAAAACGTGACTGACTGATGACTCTGGCACTGAGTAATCCAAGAGATAATGGTACCAGACACACATGCAGAGGCAGCTCATTTTGTTAAACTCAGGTGATTTGTCTTTAGATTAGCCTTTAGCCCATAAAGATAAGAAGCAGAAAGACATTTTAGTGCATTCTTTAAATAACGTATTGTGTATGTTTGTGTCTGTTACCTAGGTATGGTATACAAGAGACCATGCTCTGGCTGCTTATGAAGTCTCTCAGACGTTTATAGTTGTCTTCTTTGGACATCAGGTAGTCGAGCCGATCAAAAGTTGCCTTGTCTTTCCGACTCAGTAACTAAAGGGGGATAGAAAAAGTGAAGTGAGTTGAAGAGTATTTAACAGAAACAAACAGCTTTAATGTATATATATATATATATATATATATATATATATATATATATATATATATATATATATATATAAAAATGATTAAGTGTATATAAATACAGTTACATTCTGCAGAATAAAAGCATTACTCTCAAACTAGTTGCATGGTTAATGGACTGGCCACAGTGCATGCAGTTTTTTTAAATAGACACAGCTGCATGCTTGTGTGTTTCTGTTAGACCATTTGTAACAGCTACAGATATGAAGTGAATATCCTGCAAGAGGCCAAGAGGATTGAACTGCAGAGTACTGAGCTTTGAGAGGCAGCAGTGGTAAAGCATCAGACCACAGTATCTACTGACATAGGAAGATTGTGCCAACAGCAGAGAGTACTAATGATACCTAAAGGAAACCAGTGTGTGTGTTTATGTATGTGTGTGTGCTCTATGTGTTATAGAAGCAGGTGAGCTATTTCCTGGCCAGCAACAGCATTTCCCTGGCTAAAGGAATCTCCTGTGGTTTTGTGGAGCCGGGTATAAGACATTTCAGCATTACATCAGAGCCTCATCATGCCATTATGTAAGATTTTTCATTAAAAACACTGAAATGGATGGGTTATCCCTTTCCACATCATTTCCTGCTTGAAAATGGTATAATAAAAAAGACTTTGTTGAAGATGTTCCTGCTCTAAATACTGTATGGAGGGGCTGGGTAGGTCACTAAAGAAAGGATTGATAGGAATAAGAAATGACAGAAAAGGACACTACACTAAAAACCTCAAGTTCTCCTTGGTGGAGGTTTAATAGGTTCTCATTTTATCCCATAAACAGGGGTGATTTCAAGGTTTTAATATTATAAATAGTGCGTTTCATTTATTTCATTTTCCTGAAGTCAGCCATTCATCTTGTGATGACACTTCTGTGCTAGTTTTAATTAGAGTTGGTTTATGTTTCCAGTGCAGATCTACGTGACATCCCAGTTTATTAACAGCCCTCTACTAATAAACCAGACTTTCGTTCAAACTAAGGCAAATATACTCACCGCCCATGTTTTGGTAAGCCTGAAGATGGGGGCACTTTGTAACGCTGACACCACAGCCATGACCGCATGGAGGTTGTTCATGTCACACAGTTTCTGTGAAAAGTTACAGTACAAAGAGCACAAATTAAGTTGGGTTTACAATACAAACATCACTGAGGATAGAACAACAATGTCAAGTTAAGCGTGGATGTGTGTACCTTGGCAGTGCGAATATACAGACTCAGCACCTCAGCCCTGATCTTCAACGTCTGCGCATGGAGGATCTCACGTACCACCCAGAAACTTGTCTATAGAAAAGGCACACAAATAGATATTAAAGATTACAACACCAAGCCACTCTTAAAAACTCAGATAAACAGACCCAGAATGCTGCAAAACCGATGACGCGCAAGCTTTATTTCTCATGCGTTTCACTCTCCAAAGAATGGTACAAGGTGTTTACAAAGAAAGACAGGCTGTTCTGCCTTGTTAAATCTCCAATCTTTGAGTCCGGAGCCAAGGCCTGCAGACAGTCATGACAACTCTGGGCTGAAACCAGGACAAAGCGGAGCAGGAGAGCGCAGGGCCGACTGCTAACGGGAACGCTCCATTAGATTCGATTATAAATTAGCTCTTGAGGAAAAACAAGAGCTTCAGAGGAAAATCCAACTGATTCCAACTGATTACACAACAGATACACACCATAACTCCTAATCTGTCAACCGAGAGAGGAGTGTGTGTGAATGTGCGTGTACGTTTATAGTACTTGGCCAGAGAGTGTGATTTCGGAAATCTGTCTCTTTGGGGGAATTCTGGTAAAGCCAAAGTTCTGATTACACGCGCACACACACACAAGGATAAGTCAGTGAATCAATCAGTGTTAAAGCCCTGGAAGGAGGGGGATCGGGGAGACGAAAAAGGAGAAGAGTGAGGGAAGAGAGGAGTTAATGTGAGGGGAAGTTAGCTTCATGGCTGCAGGGCTCCGAGGCCATTCAAAGCCCACATTTGTCCGCAAATTGTGTTCTGATAAGACCATCCCCCACTTACCATCTCTATTTTTATTTGTTACACACACACTTATCTCTCAAATGTATTCTCTCAATTCTTCACTAGTGTTTAATTGTAGTATGTTCTTGTTTAATTGACTCTGCTCTATTCATGCTGAAGACTGCTAGGTGTTTCTTCTGTGTGTTTCTATAAATAAAGTGTATTTTTTTTGTATGGTTTTCTTCATTCTTGATCTTAGAACCATTTATTCAATTATAAAACGTTTTTATTAAATTAGGACCATGCAATGATCATCTAAAAAAAGAGATTAATTCATTTATGCCAGATTTAGCTATAAGCTTTTTCAATCCACAGTCCCTGGGCAAGTACACAAAGAATGAAGAACAACATTGTTTTACTATTTTAAATGTTACAACATAACATTGTCTCTATCAAACAAATCATTTGAAAAAAACGACAAGCACAAATGAAACGTATAAATACCAGCATATTGATTCAGTGCAACTATATATATAAAAAAAACAATTAATCACAATTAAAAACCTGATTAATGGTCAAATTATTGTTGAAAGACCTGGCTCTCAATATTCCTTATTATACGCCCACAGCTGGATTAGCCCCGTTTTTTCCTGGAAAAAGCCCCTTGAGTTGTTTTTGTTTTAGGAAAGAGGAGTTGAGGAGTGAGGAGATAAATTCATCAATCTACTGAGAGTGTCCATCTCCATCTTTCTTTATAAACACATGTCACAGACACTCGTTCTCTGCAGATACTGTAGGAAACACAGCCATATGGGTTTCATTATCGCCTGTTCCTAAAAGGAGTCTACACAAAAAGATGAGGGAGTGATGAAAATGGACAGAGAACACATAGACGGTGGTCCCTAACTTTCATTTAACTTGAGATGATGTCTCTTGCCTTGAGCCAGTGACCTCATGTTGAAAAGCAGTTCTCTTGAGAAAATAAAAACTCAAATGCTGTCACATCTTCCTTCTACCTTCAGTTTACAGTAGACAGGAGTTTCCATTGACTGTAAAAATGTGATTCCAATCTGGAAGCAAAACATGCTGCAGTTTCACATTTAGTTTCCTCAGCGGTCTAACTTGATATGCGAGGTCAATCTGGACAAAGCATGTCTGTCCAAATCGCTTTCCCATGGGTCTCATTACGGAGCCTGTGTCCTCGACAGCCTTGGCCTCCAAAGCTAAACAGCAATGAGATCACAGAGGATGGCAGTGCTCTACAGAAGTGCACTCACCGGTCTGTATGAGGGTCTGAGTGAGGGAATTGGGGTTACGGGGGTTTGTCTTGATCTTACTTTATGTCCTGAAGAAAAGATCAAGTCTTTTCGGGGTTGTGTTTATGAGCCTATCAGGGCCTCCAGATGGAGCTGCGAAGCCCCAGCGCTTCCATAATCATAAATAAGTGGAAGCATAAAGACCCAGTTGTAGAGCTGTGAATCAACCCGTTTAATGGCCTGAAGGGAGGAAGAGATGGGATGAGAGGAAGATCATGCCAAAGACAGGGACGACCGCTGACTGACAGACTCTAGGTGATTTGACCCTTACGTAACGTCCACACGGTTCCGTCGCGTGCTTCAACGGAGACGCTTCCCATTCACTTTGAATGGGGTGACGTCAAGCTTTGCCGAACTACATTGTGGTTCCGTCGCGTCCGTTGCTCGCTTGGAAAGTTGAGAAAAGTTAAACTTTTCAATCGTCGACGGAAGCGCCAGCCAATCAAATCATATGCCAGTACAAGCGCTAGCCAATCAAACCGCGTGCTTGTGTGTCCGGGGCGGGAGATTAATGTGATTGGTTGTTGGTCGCACGCCCGACACACCCACCGGCAAGCTTCAACGCGACGGAACCGTGTGGACGTACCGTTATTGTGCTAAAGCCTTTCAATGGTAGAAATTGAGTCAACTGACCTGTGTTAAGAAGCCATTTCGCTCGAGAAAGTTGGTGAATAGTAATAGCGGCTAATACTATTTGAGTGGAAGTCATATCACTCCTTTACCGTTATCTGACAGCATATTTAATACCCTGCACATACAGGGTTATGTTTTTGCTTTGGTTTGTCAGCAGGATTACAGAAAAACCATTGGCCAGATTTTCATGAAACCTAGTGAAAGGGTCAATGAAGAACCATTTAAAATTGGGAGCAGATCCATATCAGGGGTCCGATAGCCACACTCAATTGTACCTTTGTTAACATTGCCGTGTAGTACATTTGTGCTGCATGTATACGTTTTTGGTATGATTGAAAAAAATACCTCTACTAGGAAAATCACGTGAAAGTCTGCACATTTGGTCTTGTGGTTGTGGATGATTGGTTTTCTTTGTGCTTAGTTGAAACACAAATACTTGAAAACTGAGGTATAACATAGGCCTTTAACACACCTTCTTTTTAATGTCAATGTTGTTTCCATATTACAACCTTGATACCATGAACACAACCAAGTCGGAAGAAAGACTATCCAATGAAATGAAACCATCCGAGTGGCTTGGGAATGCAGCATTGAGCTTGGCAGATGGCTGCGTTCTTCTAGTTTTGTTCTTGTTTCTGCTATTCAACCTTACATGTAAATAGTAAGCCATTCACGCAGTGCTGCTTTAAAAGGAAATATATAATGATGATGAAACCGTTAAAGATTTAGTCATATTTTCTGGCCGTTAAATATACACTGCTGTGATGTCTTCTTTCCCATCTGGTTAGAATATAGTCGGTTCCCATTTGGTTATAATCATCACAAATTCTATACAACTCCTGTAATTATGTCTGAATAAACACATTTACTTTTTGACTACTGTATGCAAGTTGATGATTTCTCTGCACAAAACCCAATAAGACAGATTACTCATTGATCATAATGGGCTGAATTAGTCTCTCTTTGCCGCCTGTTAGCTAGACGGCGCAGTTTTCTGCTCCACTGGCTGGACATAAGGGAGAGGAGAATTAGGCTTCGGCTCTTTTCTAAGGAGCACTCTGGGACTCTGCTCTCCCAATTCGAGTCCCGTTATCCAAAAAGCTCCTTTTCCTTGGCTCCTAAGCAGCTGAAATGTGTGCAGCTAACATCTTGAATCACAGTTTGGGATCTGCTTTACATAGAGAAATTTCCACAGCTACACATTCTTGTTAGATCATCTCATATTTATACTGGAGGCCATGGAAGTGAGTCTGAAAGGAGCCTGGCAATAATAGTGGAAGGGAATTAAAGGGCACGGTTGCCCCTTACATCATTACCCACAACTTCCTGTTGATGATTTTACAGGGCGCTGGAGGGGGCATGTCATACCCACTAATGCATACATTTTGTTATGTTTCCACACGTGCTGCGCCAAGATGCAGAAGTGCGCTAATAACTTCATGAAAGCCAGAGCCAAGGACAAGCTGGGGACAAAACAAACTACCTACTGACCCATTTCATCTGGGGGCTATTTATGCACATATGACAAGCAGGGACAAACAGATTATTGTTATGATGATTATTGGGCGCTGCCATGGAAAGGCGCGCTTTGAAAAAACATCACCTCTCAGAGAGCTGGGGAAGTGATTTAGTACTTTGAGGATGGAGGCAGAGGACACGGTGGAAAGAGGAGCTGTAAGCTCTCCATTCCTTGAAGACTAAGGCTCATAAATCTTTAACATTGCTGAAGGGACTGTATTTTTTCTCCTTTTATGGGATGAGACCTTAGTTAGCACCTTTTAAATGTGGCTTTGAATTTATCTAGATGTATCATAGATTTAATCAGTCCTGTATTGATAGAGTTCTGTTGGACTATGTATTAATCAAATAGTCATGTGTTGCTCTGTCTATGGATTGGTTGGTTGGTGGGTGGGTGGTGTTGTGATTTTTGCTTGTTTTATTGGTTTGTGAAGCCCTTTTTGTTAAGAGTTGTAAAGTAGTACTGAAAGTGACAAAGCTGCATTCCTCTCACCTGGTTGAACCTGCGAGTAAAGGCCACAACATTTGGAGAAGAGCTGTGCTTCTCCTTCTTGTTCCAGCCGCAGCTTGACAGCTCCTGAAAACACACAAACAAACAGGGAAAATTACATTTACTGTATGCACTGAGCCGAAAGTATCTTTTTGTATACGCCAACATTTGACTGAATGGACTAAACAGTCATGTACGAGCCGAGGTCACGCAGACGAGAGCAGGATATGATAGTAGAGAAAAGCAGATGAGGAAAAAGAGAGATGGTCCAGTGGAGGCTCAGACATATTGATGGATGAATGCAAAAACAAACATGGGAAGCTGTGTAGGAACACTCTGATGATATTGATTTTACTTTCTCCAATGTTCAAACAAGCTACGCACTGACTCCTGAACTCAACTTTTCTCATTGTGGAGTTTTTGAATTAACATTGAAGTAAAACCACTACTGTAAATAGTAATATTATTGGAAACCCTGCCCCATTTAGTCATGCCCTGGCACACCCAAAACCGAATGTAATTTAATATGTTCCATGCAGGAAGAGGCTAATGCACGCCATGAACACAGGGGTTATTTAGCGAAAGAATGAACAATGAAAACTATAGTACACTACCTTTTGTACAGTATAGATCTAAACAAGTTAAATTAAATAAATACAACCAGTAAACGTTCATAAAAAGGAGTGATGTCAAAAAGCTAAAACTACTCTCAAGAACAGAATAACTGCCAATAATCGCATAAAAAATGTAATAATCAGGCTTTGATTTATTCACTTTAAATAAAGTACATTATTGTGTATGCATACGCTGTTTATATTTAATCAACTATGATGTATGCACTTGTATTGACAATATATATAATAGCAGCTGTGGAGGCAGCTGTAGAAGCAGTAGTGCCGAAAGAACATTTTATTTCACCGCTTTTTAAGAAGGGAAAGGGCAGGGATTTGGAACTTGATTAAAGAAAAGTTGAACAACACACAAATAGTATAATAAGTAATTATTGCTATTTGTGTACAAATAGTACTAAGTTAGTCTCATTTTGGTCTGGACTGCAGTTCAAAACAGAGACCACACAGCGAGGGGAACCCAGACCCTCTTTGGCCTCTGCTGGCTGTCCGGAGGCCAGGGACACTGACGTAACAGTTGGAAAAATGTTGAGCAAGCTCTCCTCTTAATCCCTGCCAGCCCGGCCCACTTGAGCGACAATATGAAGATCTGCATCGGGCTGCAGCTCCCCCACACAACCTCCAGCTAACCGCTCACAACTCTGTGACCCGGGCCGCATCGGGAAGGCTCCTTGCAAAGACAACTCATGCTCACTCAGGGGTGAGTCCCCGAGTAGTTAGAGGCAGCCGGCGGGGGTAAAAGAAGCAACATATCAAATACAGATGTTAAAAGCAGACGTTCATGCGTGGGGAGGTGATGCCTCCAGGGACTATGTTGCCCGAGTAAGGATGATGAGGAAACATTTGAGTGGGGAAGAGTTAAAGGGACTATAAAAGACCACATTGTAGAAGACCTAACCGCATCTCTCCACAATCTAAATCACAGGGCAGGAGACACTAGCCCGTCTCATCCATGAGAGCTCATAGTTTATTTAACGTCTGTCCTTTTTACATAAGCCCCTTCCTTCTTCCTGCCATCACGTCAATCACTCTCCTGTCCAACACACACAAAGTTGGTGATGATTCTTAAACAAGGACGCTCCATAGTCAGTGTGAGGTGGATGTGTTTGTGTGCCTGGCAGCTCGGACCACCACCTGACCACCCAGGGAGGCGGTGCACAGACCGTCCCACGTCTTCCTCACTGACCAAGACCACAATATTTCAACAACCTACATAATCCTTCAATCCTGGACCACCTGGGACTGTCTTCTAAACTAACCATCGCTCCATCTGCCCATCACGCCAAGTTTGAAGTAATTCACGCTCTATTGTTCGCCCGCTGTTGTGTAACAACCGATGCCAGTGTGTTTTAACAGCAGGTCTGCAATGATCCACAGTCTCTCCAGAAACAATTAGGGTGCATTTCCTTTACTTTTCCTTCACATGTATAGTGCTATTTCCCACTCAAGCAACATTTAAACATGTATCTGACAAAAGGCGAGACTTTAGAGGAGGCTGCTTTGGTAAGACAGTTTTAAAGGCTGCAGTAAAAGAGTGCAGTTTGAAGAAGCCTGCGCCAAGCCACAGCCAGCCGTCATTTCCACATGCTGGTCTGGCACAGCAGCGTTTTCATTAAAGCTCAGCCCTGTGGCGCTGCTAGGAGCTGGCTGTATCTGCACTGTTTGGGGACATAGCTAGCATGAGGGCAAAGGGTCTGGAAATTTCTGGAAATGTTCAGATAGATTCCTTAAATTGTGTAAGTGAAGCTAAGCTCAGGAATTTTGCACAAATTGCAATAGTAAAAGCATACCATTGAATAGTGAACTAACTAAGGGGGTGAATAAACATTAACTGCTATTTCTTATGGCATGCTATAGCTATGACTATTAAATTGAAACCATGCACTGAACCTTTTCCATCACACATTCATTTACAGCATCCCATTAAAAAGGAATTCAGTACAAAATAAACCTATTGCATGCAAAGTGCATTCTCCATCACATGTGCAGACCAAACTGCAGCACTGTCTGAGACGGCACATTACATGCTTTCAGCTTCCATTATATAGCTGGAGAGAATAGATTTTACAGTAGATTATTTATGTTAGCCAGTAGATAGTACAAATAAAGCAGAATACACACTTTATAGCTTGTTTGCATCTTCTGCAAGTGTTTGATAGCTAGCTGTTGTGTCGTATTTCACATTGCTTCCCTTTAATCCCCATGGAAAGTTTCCATCTTGAATATTCATATCCAAATATTAAACAAAGCAAAACGTTGCCTAATCCAAAACAACCCTAAAATTACATTTTCTAAATTTCCATATCTATTTACTCAGCTCTGTGTTGAGTCTACTCTGTTTTACAACCACACTGTGAGCAGTATTACATAAACATGGCACAGGCTGAATAAGATAACCAGCTGTGGCTAAGCCACTAATTGCTATGACCTCATGTAAGATACCGCAGAGAATCCTTTTGTTGTTTTTTTTCTTCATTGTAAATGGAAAACTGAAGTGTTGGGATCCCAGAAAATATGAGGGAGAGGCCACAGGCCAATACATGAAGGAATAATAGGAACAGGGTGGAAGAAGATGAAGAAGGGAGGAAGTGAGAACAAGAAATGTGGTTTGCTGCAAAAAGAGTGGGGATTGTGGAGATATACTGAGGAATACAGGAAGGAATACAGTGGAACATCTAAACATCTCTATCTGTTCTGCACTTCAAAAACAGAGGAAGCTTAAACTGATGTTCAGCCAAAAGTACTAGTCTACAGATGTACCCCGTATCATCTGTTCGATTCAAAAAGTAAGAAAGAAAAAAGCAGAAAAGCAGAACAGTAAATACAAGGAGCAAAAAAAGGAGAAGGCAGTAAAAATGCATTGTCTCAGACAGTTTTAAACTATAGACCCTGGCAGGGACCTACAAGCGAGCAGCAGCCTCCATTACCGTGCGCACACCATGGAAAGAATGACTTTTCCAGGAGGTCTTTTAGTACATGTACTCCCCATTATTCTTATAGCAGTACAGGCTTTCTTTCATGGCAAGTGAGACCAGACTAAGCATGTTCTTATATGAAGATTTCATTCTTATTCTTCTGGACGGCAATACGATTTTATCATAATAACATCTGGTATATTCTAAAAGAAAACAGTACACATGATTACATCTCAAATGGTCGAGATAAGTCATTGAATTTAAGATCGTTTTATTAAAATGTGTTTTGATGATGTCTTCAGAAAAACTGATTCTCCATGGTTTGGAAAAAATCCTTTCTACAAAGGGAAAACTTGTCCCTGTGTTTTTTTTTTGTCTACTGTCAAAACATTATTTTCTTCACCGTTCAGCATGATGAATGTGTATTAACCATCATGCTGACAGGCTGTAGTGTGGGTGGGATTCCCTTCTGTGTTTGTTGTCGAGCAACTATTGTCCAACCCTCCTCCACAAAACAACATGTGCAGCATACAGGGCGCGAGGAAAACCGCGTTCAACATTCAATGCATGGTTGTAAAAACGCAATACTTCAGCAAATGTGTTTTATCTCACGATCAGTGCTGGAAAACATTAAGCCTGCAGGCGAGACAAGGCTGAGTATGTGAAACGTTACCTGCCTCCAACTACAAGTCATCATCGTCTCGCATGAGACCTTCAATCTGTTCGGAGGATTTGTATGCTGTGTGCTCAGACATGAGAGGAACTGACATACTTCCCAGCAGCACGTAGAATGCAATCCGATAGCTATTCCCCGAGAGCTGAAGCTTTCCAGCCAAAGCCACTAAATTACCAACTTGGCTGTTGCCATGACTGTGCATTTGAAACAAAGGCAGGCAACCCCCCCCCCTCTTTAAGTCGCTTTACATCACTCAATCTCTTTCCTTCGCAAACTGTTTTTCATAAACATCAGTGCGGTTAGATTATAAAATTTAAAATGGTCTTCTGGGACAGAAAGTCCTCCAACATCTTCTTTTTACTTACACATCATTTTAATGTCTACACGTCTCTTGTCAGCTGGTCCATCTTTAATGGCGGTCCAGTTCACTCTCGATTAAAACCATATAGATGGGGTTGTTACAACCCATTGGTAATCTTGGCCTCGTACATTTAGATGAGGAAAATATTTTGATACAACTCCCTTGCATCCTTTCTCCTCCTCCTCCTCTTCATGATCTGCCTTGTCATTTCAATGGCATGTCAATTGCAAACAAACAGCCAAAGAACATATCAGCAATTCAGTGGAGGGTTGTAGATAAAACATCAGTCTGCTCTGCACTATAGATTATTTTACTGTCGGAAAATAACTTCTGGTGTTCTCATCAATTATACACAAGGGTCTGTCCATGTTGTCCTCAACAGCTCTTCCTCTGATATCTTTTTGTACTTGTTCTGGTCTTTGCATAACCACAAGTATTAAGCGGTCCATTACTTGTAGGAAGTGAATTAAAGCAGCCATCATGCATGCAATGTCTTATGAGCCGTCACTATCATCCAACGCAGATGTGTTCAGCTCCTTTGCTGTCTGATGTGTCAGAGTGGCATGAGTTCAAGCTCCAAGCTTTTGAACCTGGCTCTCTTGAGGCTTTGTAGATATCAAAGAGTATATAAGAAATACTGGCAAAACCCGTTATCATCCATAATGTTCCCCTACTTTATATATCCACAGTTTGGAACAAGAGAGAATGGAGCCCATTGCCTCTTGCCCAGATTTCACACCATCTCCTCACACCGTCTCTCCACACATGCCTCTCATGTAATCTTTATTGCTATTGTGATAGATGCTTATCTTTTCTTCCTCATCCAGAGAGCTTTTGGCTAGACCTGTCAGGCAGCTCTCCACACATCTGCTCCATGTCAGCGCTGAAACACTTGAGTTAATGAGATCCTCTGTTGTACTGCAATCCTGTCTGGGGTAATTTTTCCAGCTCATGCCAGAAAGTCTATCTGTGCGTCATACACACATGTACAAATGCGCACAAAACAGTGTTCGGACACTCAATCTCTCTCTATGGGGCTCTCTTTCTCAATCACACGTACATTTTATATGAAAGGCAGTTATGATGTGTTTATGGAGAGGGAAAAAAGTTAATCTTTGAAACAGACCCCAGGTCATAGCTAGTTTATTATGTTCATTGCGGTCATTTCCATAATAACTGTACTGACTACTTCAATTAGTTGTAGTCTTGCAAGAACAGCAAATATGGTAATATAAGGCCAGTCGAACTGAACATGACAGACTGCTGTTACAAAACATGTTACGCCTGAAGACGACAACAGTTGCACTTTAAAATAGAAAGACTAAAGATCAAGCTTAGTTCATCTTCAATTACTGTAAAGAAAACGTATTTTAAAGAAATTCATAGAGCCTGCTGTAAAAAAACGTGTCCACAGACCAGCATTCTTGGAACTAATCTGGTGGAAATGTTGATTTGTATATCATTTGTTTACATACAAAAGGTTAAAATATGTCAAGTTGAAACCTTCTAAAGAACATTAGGACAGTAATGCAAGACACTTAATATACATCCAACTAAAAAGGTGAACATATTACATCATGGAAACTAACCTTGTATTTTGTCTAAGATAACGTCTTTCTAACCTCAATTTATGTCAGATACTGCCTCAAATCTGTTGGAACTCCTAATTTGTCTGTAGATTCTAACTTAAAAGGCAAGAATGGGCTGTAAGTCAGTAAAAACATTATTATTGCACAACTCACAGATCCATGTAATTTAATACTTTCCTATTCAGGCAGTGAGCCTAGTGAAACAGCGTGCATCAACACAACACACACACACACACCTGCTTTCCTCATTATGTGTCTGGAGAGGACGAGGAGACTGACAGCAGTGGAAACTCTCGTTGAGTTTTAGTTTGGTCATAGCTGTGTATCTTTTTTCAGCCAGTGCTTCGAGACAAAATCACCGTGAGAGCAGGAAAAGCCTCTCTAGTTCACTCTGTTCCTGCCAGGAGGCTGCTGGGTCACTCTGCATACTCCGCACTCACCTCCTTCTCTCCCTCCAGACTGCAGCTTTCATCCCCTTGTCAGCCCCCCCCCCCCCCATTTAAACAGGTCAGTGACTCCTTCCCAAACGCACACTCTTGCTCTACATCCCACTACAGGTCCCTCAAAAGAGTTCTTACCAGCTTGAAGCAATATGTAAAACCTCTGACCCTTTAAACCTTCACCTGAATTTCCAAATTGCTACATCGGACTGAAATACACGGACACATTTTCATTATGCTTATAAAACCAACTCAGGCGCTCAAACCAGACTGAGCACAGGAGCACGTTTGCATTTATAAAGCCGACAGTCGCCTCTGTGTGAACTTGGCCCCGTGCGGTCCAGAAGACGTCAATGACTCCCCTCTGGGTGAAGAAACAGCAGTACCCCGAACGCCAGCCATGATGAAAGCCACTGAGGGACTAAACTGTAGTCTTTTCCATGACTCAGACACAACTAACTTTTTACGAGAATCCAAGAAGGTCACGGCACACAATTACATTGTTATCTAAATTAAATCAAACTGTGGGCCTGGGACTGATATCATGCCAGAGGAGTGAGTGTGTGTGTGCTGTTAGCTGAGACAAGACGTGTTGAACATGGCCAATAGCAGGAGTCACACTGTACACCAGGCTAGGATGTGGTCTGCATGCTGCTTTCATAAGCCCACAGTGGCCAACCTTAAACACAGGTTATCCATGACAGCTGTCAGGAAGGCCCAACAATCCAGAAAATCACAAAATTACAAAGCGCCCCATTGAGGTGTAAGACCAGGTGTGCAACAAGATGCCACTTTCCGCATAATTATGATAACTGGCATTGCGTGGAAGCTCTGATCACAGCTGCTCATTGCACAGCATGCCACAGGAAGATCTACCGTGTGGAGATTTTGAAAGACAGAAAAGAGAGAGATGGACCGAGGCGGCAGATAACAGGGGACATTTTTAAATATACATATGAATGCAGGTATATAAATGGTCAACTTATCTGTAATTGACTAATCAACATCTGTTTTGTGTGTCATTGCTGTATAATGTGAGGTGTGAGGAAATGTGTTCCAGACTTGCACATGCAGTTTTAGAGATGTCACACCTCAAGCTCAAAATGAAAAACAATGTGTTAATTTCTCACGCTACATGTCATAACTAAAACCGTCAACACCACTCCTCTAAACAGATCTGAGTGCAGCTCACCTCTGGCTGGATGGCTTTGAACACAGGAGCATCCATGAGCGTAATCTGGCCCTGGTGGAGACAAAACACAACAGTTGTTAGACTTGCTATGTTCAAACTGGGTCAAATCATAATGCAACTTACCATTGTTTATTCTATATATATAATATAAATCGGACTTCTTCGTAACAGTTGAAATAATAAAAGTTAAAATGATATCGGAAAAAAACGATAGAACGTTAATCTGATACTTCAAGAAACAGCTGTCGTTCTGAGGATGGCCTTTTCCAGCTCTCCTAACAGATGTTTGTTAAGATTTGGAACAGGACTCTTAGAAAGCCCCTTCAGAATAGTCCAGTGTTTTTTAATCCATTCTTTTGTGTCATTAGCTGCATTTGTTTAGTCATTATCCATGACTAGGGTCACTATCCATTATCTGTGACTGAAAAACAGCTTTCCTTCACTAAGCAGTTAATTTTCCTCCAAAATACCTTGATAGATTTAAGATTGTGTTGTGCCCTGAACAATTTCAAGGTACTATATGAATATTACATAACAAAGCACTCCCAAATCAAAACCCAGCATCCTTCATGTTTCATCGTAGTTCATTTCAAATCTAGTAAATTCCCCCCAGAAGGATTGTGGCTTGTTAATATGCATTTTAGCAAATTCCAGGCATGCTTTTTTTAATGTTTTTCTTTCAAAAATGGGAGTCCTTCTGGGTCTTCTCTCATCGCGGAAACTGACGTACCCTGACCTTGAGCTCGGCTTGCATCTGTTTGGCAGTTATCCTTGCTTTTTTTATTCTACCATTCGCACTATCCTTCTGTTCAATCTGGGGTTGATTTTCCTCTCGCGACAACACCCTGGGAAGTTGGCTACAGTTCTTTGGATGCTTATCTATTGTTTTCTCTCTGATCTCCTCCAACAACTATCCCCTTTGCTTCTCTGGTTCATGTTCAGTGTGTGCACATAGAATATCAAACAGCCCAGTGACTCCTTTTCTCTGTTGAGAATGAGAATATAACCATTGTTTGTTTTCCTTTCTAAGGGGCACCAACAGCAAGACATTTTAGATTATCCTGGTCAAATAAAGAATAATTCATCTTTTTTTACAGCCAGGTGGCTTGATTCTATGGAACCACAATGGCATGCAAGCATACAAGACAATTTCACTTTTCAGGAGGAATAAAGCATTCATTCAATGAACTGTAAGGATACATTTAAGCATGTCTGTAATAGTCCAACACGTCTTTTGCTAGAGAGGTTATGTCCTGACAAGCAGGTAATAGTGACAATGGTATTTTACTGATTGAACCTTTAAGTGCCTTGATACAGCTTGGAAATATGTAAAATGAAGACACTCTTGGATTTAGAAGATAAAGAGTGCCCTCTTGTGGTTGAATGTGGTATAACATTGGAATAAAAGCATTAATACAGGATTAGAGAAATAATGAGGAACATGCTTTTTATTTATTTATTTATTATGTGTCAATCCTGAGCATCAGTACTTCTCACAAAAAGCTAAGATCAATGCAACAGAAATGCTTCTTCTGTTGGTCCATGCCATGGAAAGTTTGTGCAGAGGCAGCCAGAGGAAATCCATCAGAGCCTGCTTGGCACTGCCAAACATCATCAATTATTAATGATCCCAACTCTGACCCCATTTCCTCCTCTATAAGACAAACTTCACTTACTGCATATTCTTCGGGGGTGACCTTCAGTACATCGAACACAACAGCATCGAAACTCTTCTTCAGGTCTGAGGAACCCTGATCGCTGAGAGACTCTGAGCTGCTGCTCTTCTAGAAAACACAAACACACATTGCGAGGTGAGAGGAGTGATGGCTGTGCTGTTAAATATAAGTATCAAGCAGAGGAGAGAGGTGAGGTATGTAGGGGATAGGAGGCTTAAAAACCCAACATGATGTCATAGCACAGATGTTAAATATGTCATTTGAAAAATATGTTAATATCATATTTTAGCCATAGAAAACACTGCTACATCCAGTCACTCAAACATGGTACATTAGAATTCTGAGGGGCAAAAGTCTAGGAGAAGTAGCACAAGATATATTGTGAAAAGAGGAGATGCAGGTGTGGTGAGTGGGCGTGGCTCACCTCAGAGACTGATGCAGCCGTGGTGGTGATGATTGACTGGCCATTATGGAGGTTCATCATTCCCACACCATCTAGCTCTAGCGAACGAGACCATTCATCATCCTCAGCTGCAGCAAAGCCCGCCCGGCCCTCTGGAAACACAAATTATATCAGTGATTTTGCAACTCATCTTGACAATGATCACCTCACATCACTCAGTTTGTAACAGTAGCTCCACCTACTGGCTAGAATAGAAGGATTCTCAGGATCATCTCTTAAAAGACAGCAAAGGTCAACGACTGAGAAAAATAGGCACAACTGAACTTGAGATGGAAGTGAAAGTGTTGACAGTCGTCCCAGCAGGCCCGCGAAGGCCATATGGACGTACACTTTCACAGCCTGTCACTAACTACACCCGACAGAGGACAAGACAGGGGGAGCTTAGGCATTAGGAAGAGATCCTCTGTGAAAGGGGTTTGAAAAGAGCAGCGGTCAGTAGAAGTCACAACGCTGAACAGCTTACACCTGAACTACAGTCACCTTACTGACTCTACAGATCGATCTCAACACAGGAAATATTCCTTTGTCTTTTCTTCGTCGACTGGCGACCAGAGAGAAGATGTTTATCACCAATTTCAACAGTGAATGGATTTTCAATACTGATGTAGTAGATCGAATCGTCAGAAAGCCAGGTTTATTCACAGGTCTTGGTTAATTATTGTTATTTTGTTCTTCCCAAGACTTGAGTGTTGATTAATAATCCAGAGTTCCTGACGCCAGTATCATACAAAGAAGATCCTTGCAAATATATATTTGTGAATTACCCAACACAAGCTACCATAGCCCAAAGTGTACTCTGTAAATGACTTAAATGATTAAATCAATTCTCAACATTGCGGCTATATTTTCTTATTTTAAAATCAGACAATCCTTAAAGGTAGGGTAGGTAAGTTTGAGAAACCGGCTCGAGATACACTTTTTGTTATATTCCATGGAATGCTCTTAACATCCAGATAGCAATGAATATCTTAAGTGCTTTGACAAAAAAAATCCATAAAAAAATGTCATCTGTGGAAGCCGTAGTACTGTAAAAAGCACGACCAATCATTTTAGCCGGCCCAGCTCAAATAACTGGATGGCCTACCTGCCTGTCAGCCTTCCATCTGGGCACAAACTTATCTCGTGCCCTCATTGGTCATGTGTGCGTTCGTGTGTGTTGGAGGAGGGGCTCTATAAGGAAGTGGCAGATTTTCTCCGGTTGTGTATTTTCAAATTCTAGCGATCTCGAGCCGGTTTCTCAAACTTACCTACCCCACCTTTAAGTAGTTTCAACATGAAAACTGATTTTAAATGATGCACAAAATACATTTTAATTTTCTTGTTCATTACTTTTCTCATAGCAAAAACGAAAGTATCAGCAATGGATTATTTTAATATTTATGAATATTCTTCTCTAGCCATAACTGAAAACTCTTCAGAGAGTATTCTTGGCCAAAGGCATAAATGGAGACAGTAGTGAAAAACTACAAAGCTACTAGGCCAGCAAAGACATCTCTTGTGTGCTTGACAATGCAGGCCTCTGTGTGTGCGTGCATGCGTGTGTGGGTGCGTGAGCCATTAGCTGCTTTCCCCAGATGCTAAGCCGAGTGCAAACAGCACTACATCAGGTCGACTTCCCTCCTATTGTTTGACAGCAGAGAATAAGTACACAGGAAGCAATAGCCAGTCTGTATTTATAAGTCTGAGTCTGTCTGTTTATCAAGTCCTACGTCTGTAATTACCTTACTTCCTGGTCTAATACCTATGCATGTCTTCTTGTTTGATTGGGGTGCCTCTGGGCTATATCACTTGGGGGTTTTGTCTACAGGTAAAACAAAACACTCACAACACATCTTTTTAAACTAATGTAAATGCTGTGATCATGTAAACATACTATATGATGGGCAAGAGTCCAACACAACTATGTTTTATTTTCAAAAAAATGTGGTCATAAAGAACTAAATCTATTTTCGCCTGTGAATTTGTCGCACGTCACCCTTACATACAGAAATATCCAAATCCTGTAGTCTCTTATTATGGACATTTGGGTAGGTGTGTTGCTAGAAATGCCTTCTTCTTGACTTTTGATAGTTATTTTTCTTTGGGTTTTGCACCATCCACATGAAAATATCATCCACAGTTAATGCCCCTGTTCTAGTTACACAAGGGCTGACAGCTGGCACAGTAACATCCATTTGATTACTGGATTGAACAATTTGGACATGTAAGGTCTCATATAAAGAATCAACATAAAAACATACACATGCAGGGTTACCCTACATGTGTAAAAGGGGCTTAACACAATTAGAAGTTCACTCAGGAAGCACAGCCCTCTGCCAAAGTCATTTCCACACAGTGATTGAAAAGTAATGTGTGTTAGGAATCGCTCCAAAATATAACCATATCTTTCTTGGTCACGGCTACACTCTTGAACAAGTTTCACAAAAATTAAGGCAGCTTTTTATTTCATAATACTGCTGGCAAAAAACAAGAAAATCGATAAACAACTGAAACTGAAAGAAAAACAGCACACCAATGGAGGATGGTGATAAGCAATGATGATCATATTTGCTCACTTAACTGCGACGTGTGCGACTGTAATCGTATTACAAGAGAATAGAAACATTAAGTGTGCAACCCTGCAGGCATACAGACTCACATTTACTTCCGTCAGACCTCTGAAAACAAGCTATTATTGCAAAGACAAGGCCTGACTTACCAGTTGTGTGTCAGATGCGCATATTGTTGGATGTGATGTTAGCCTGTTGTTCTTTATTGCTGCTTTTGTCTATTGAGTCCTGTCTTCCTCTGAGGCTGGCTCCTGCTGTCTGTGTGAAAGTGAAGAGAAAGAAGAAACAGGGATGAAGAGCAGTCTTCCAAACATGATGAAAAACCCACACAAATTAGAAATGCACACAGCCAAAACTCCAGTAGCTGATCAGATTCTGATCAGTTTGACAACATGCAGGGGGTTGAGATTGACAGAAGTAACCATAACAACAACATTATGGTCAGTAAATCTTCCCTGACTGATATGAAAATCAGATCACATGTGAATCTCAACTGGAATGCCAAAAGCTAGAGGTGGTTTAATATCATTTTGTTCATAATTACTTGGCATTATTGGTCACCGGAATATAACATTAAGATTGCATCAGAATTCTAAATGAACACATGGTTAATATTTCAGAGAAAACACAAAAATACAAGACATGACTGACGTACATGACTCAATTACTTTCATTGTTGATTCATTTGAGAGTTGTTTTTTCAATTTATCTTTCATCGATAAAATGTCAGAATACGGAAGCTACCTGTGCTATTGTCTGAACCCCAGGGAAATAATCAATTATCTTATTGCATATTCTGAGTCAGGCCAACTGCAACTCTACAAGCCAATGAAGTCTGAATCCCATAATGCTCTCTGCCTCCATCACCTCTCATGTGACAGCACTCACATTAGCCAGTAGGGGTCTCACTTCTCTAAGAGATGAAAGCCTGTGCGATGGACTGTGAGGTACTCTGAACACAAATGCTGCATGTTGGCAGTCAGCAGTTGGCCTTTAGCCACCAGGTAAGGACTAAGATCTTGTCATCCCCTCCAGGTTGTCCTCATGCTGGGTAGGGGTACAAAGCTCACACGCAGAACAAACAGCGGATTAGCATTTCCACTCGCCAAGGTAAACTTTAAACCTCTGCTGACATAAGCCTATGCATTCTTTCACAGATCACATCTTACCAAGTAAACAGCAACCCAGAGCGAGCAATGCTTTTTTGTGCTATGGATGTAGGAAATAACAAATTTTACCCACACAATAGTTTAAATGTCATGTCACGTAACTAAAGTTTAGATTTTTGTATACCTTGAGCAGTGTAAACCCCCCCCCCCCCCCCGGCAACAGCCTGTTTCTACTCGTCTGCATCAGCGTGCCCCCTCCCAACCACCCTGGACCAGTTTCCTTCTCTTAACTTCACAGTTTCTTACGACGCCCACACCTCCAGCTACTTGAAAAACAGAGAGAGACAGCAACCCCCTCCTTCTGAGTCACTGCCCTACCTACCCAATCCTCACTAGCCAAAGCTCCTGATGTAAGAGCTCACCCTTCTCTGCTCCTGGCAGCATCCACGCAACTGTGACAGTGAGCTGAGCCGACATGTGTTGTGTTTGGTGACATAATTCCACGTGGTTGTGTCCTCACGCTTTGCTTACTGAGGTTCAAGTGTGGGGAATGTTTATATGACCAGCTGAAGGGATAACAAACGAGTGGTGATAAGTTGAAGGTGTACATGTTTTAATGGGATGATGGCAGGAGACTTCAGGGGGACATGACAGAGTTTAGAGGAGGAGGAGGGCGAGAATAACAGAGGAAGAGGGACAGAAAGGGGAATGACTCAAGTGGACTCAGGTGATGTGTCGCTGTTAAGCTAAATGTGAGTCATTGCACTGCACAGAGCAGGTGCTGTTGAATCAGACCTCTCAGGCTCGCTCGCTCCTCCTCCCTCCCTCCTCCTCCTCCTCCTCCTCCTCCCTCCCTCTATTCGTGTTATCAGACTTTTGACAGTCACATCAGACTGCAGCTACAGGTGCTGGGCGGCCTAACCAGCCGTGTTACTGAAGGGCACAACGAGTATTAGCAAGTGTCTTTGTGTGTCGTCACGCACATGCTGGCGTATTTTTGCATGTGACAACACATTCCTCATCCCGCACTGACCGTTACATTCCTTTACATTATCCAGTGCCATGAAAGCAGGTCTCCATCACCTCTGTTAGACAGAAAAAGGTAAACAAAGCTCAGAGTGTTTACTGCATGACAGTGTTATTGTTCAGATAATTGTGCACTTTGAACAAGCGGTCAATAAATCAATTCATTAATCTGCAACATTTTCAATAATCAAATAACCCTTTAAGTGATTTTCAAGCAAAAATACCATCTTATTTCAGCTACTGATCTGTGAGTGTGTTGCTTTTATTTGTCATCATTTGAAGTCATTTTTCAAGCAGAAATAGCTCCAACTTCTTACAAATGGAAGTTTTTTCTTTTATTTAGTGTTTTAATATATCATCAGTTCATTAAATCTTGTTGGGTTTTGGTCCCTCGAAGACATTATGCAGGGCTTTAATGATTAATAAAGATAATAATAAGCAGATTTTTCTTATAAATGCTACAGCTCTGATATACTACCTTACTGATACAATCTAAAAAATCTACATCATAAACAGATTCATTTCGAACCATAAAGCTCAATACTATCTAGTTATCAAGAAGCATGGTGATTACTTCAATAACAACATCCTCCTCCTAACATCCCCCTGGAGTATTCAACATGAAAATACATTTTTGGGTGGCAATACACGGAAACTTTCCCCATTAGCATTCACTCTACAAACACTGGTGACAGCAGGTATCTCTTCCTCCTTGGCAGCCTTTGATGAAGAATGTATAATATAATGTTCATAATTTATATTCTGAGGTAGCCATGACAAAACTGTGGCAGTGCACAACAGATGGCGTTTTATAGTGCAAACACCTTAAAATTCCAGCATTCAAAGTACCAGGCTGCTCCAAGCCCTATTTACTGTTGTATGCGTTTACTCTCTACTCCTTCTCAGTCCCAACACGAGGCACAAGCTAACACATAGGCACAAAATACAAGGATTAATGTGTGTGTGTGTGTGTGTGTGTGTGCGTGCGTGTGTGTGTGAAGCAAGGACCTGTAGGAACTGAAGGAATGTTCAGGGAAGGGTCACAAGATGTGAGACTGTCAATAAAGGATCAGACGCGTGAGATGTGTCTAACGTTCAGCTTTAACAGAGTATTGTGTGACTTTAACAGCTTTGAACACTCTGCATGTCACTGTGCAGCGCTGCAGGCCTGTCTGTGACACCTCTCAGTCCTGTGAGCCTCTCAATCTGCTCCCCCTGTATGCGAGAGCACCACAAATACCCAGCTCCTCTCATGCTCACAGCAAGACCTCATATTAATGATATTTATACGTACAAGTTCTGAAAGTGTGTGAAAGTACATCAATATTCAAATATTTTCAGTATTAAGAACTGGGAGAAAAAATGCTGTATAAAGTTAATACAATAAGAAAATGTGCTACTGCTGCAGGTTCAAATTTAAAGCGTTTAACTGGTGCAACACAAGTTGACTTCTATAAGGAAATGGTCACAAGAAATGCCTTTTGTTGGGCAGGAAGCTCTAATCTGACACTAGTGCTCAGTCTTTTTTGGCATATTTTGATAGTGGATCAGTTAAAAAAATTGCAAGATGGAACAGGACAAAGGAGAGGCCACAGTGAGTTAGCTGTAAGATGGACAGCTGCCGGTGACAGGCTGCACTCCTCCAGGTTCTAAGGGAAGAAACCAACTATTTGTATGTTCGATGTTTACAAACTCATACCGTATGCAGCAGTTAATCGAATCATGGTTGCTTACAGAATGATGAAAAAGGCAATTTATTGCATGATATCTTCATTAAAAACAATAGTTTGTTTTGCTGACCCAGTATTCTTGAACCTGTAGTGTTAAACTGCATTTGCTGCTACCAGCAGTATTGCAAAGTCAACCAAGACTGACATTTCAGGGTTTGCTATTTTAAATTTGAATGTACAGTACATCTTCTCTGTCACCGTCTGTATAATGCATGAACTGTTCTGACACATGCTTGATGCATTTTAAATGCATGCCGCAGATGCACCAAAGTCAGGGAACAGAAGTAGGTCAGTGTGTTGAGCTGAGCAGAGAGGAGTCTGACAGCCCACACACACAGATACAAACACAAGGCTGATGGAGCCTTCAAAGTCAAAGCAGGTATCTTACAGGCAAATTATTTTGGCACTATATTGTAGTAGCTGCATGATATTTAAAGGGAGACACTGTTGGGCGAAACCTGAAAACCAGTACATAACCCCTTTTACCATGTTTATAAGATCACAAAAGTAGCAGCCTTATTTCCAACTCTGTTTATACTTTGGCAGAGCCTGTTAATCACCAGAGTTAGTCAGCGGTGTTTCAGTATTGCTACGGCAGCAAAGATAAGGTCGAGGTCCTGTCTTTCCCCGGGCTCTAGTCAAGCCTCTCCCTTTGAACACTATTGATCTGGAGCTAAGAGGTGCTGGATTGATCACATACACACTCTAATAACCTTCACATACACACAGGGACACGGCATGTTGCTGCATGTTACAGCAGTTCGATAAACACTGCTTTCACTCAGCAGGTCTGCTGTTCACGCAGAGGTTGGTGGAACTGCCTGTGGAGAGAAAACGGTGTGTGGGTGTGTGTTGCAGTCGAGGGAACATGACCAACAGCCCCTTCAAACCATCACTTAGGGATGGGTATAGTTAGGATTTTATTGATACCGATACTGCTTATCGATACCGGTATTTTTCTATACTCTTATCGATACTTTTCAATAATTTGGTGCTCAAAATTATAGACATGATTACACGATGTAAAGATTAAACAGTCATTTTATTGTAATTTATTATTTAATGTAACTTTTTCAATGTCATACCAAGCAGGTATGAGTGTGTTTGACAGTGTGTCTCTGGAAGGGGGGCGGTAATTAGGGGCAGTTCGTAAATCCATGTAAACATGACCATTATTCAGTTCAAACGAGACGCTGCGTGCGCACCTGCTAAACCGGAAGCTCCGGTCGGCTAACCATTATAATCCGTTTATTATTTATAATTGTAATGATGGATTATCAGTAATCATTTTAAAGTAACACAGAGACATTGGATTAACCGTTTTTATGCCCTTGAACACAACTTTTGATCACAAAACAGCAAAGGTAAGACATAATTATCATCATGGCTACGT